CATCCCAGCAAGCATTTTTTGTTTTTAAAAGATGTCTAATAGATATTTAATAGACATCTAAACAGCCGTCTTGACTAAAACAAGGCTAAATTTACTGTCAGTGAAAATCTAATAGACGTCTAAGGACAGGCCAAATCAAATAAACAGAAAGGAATGTCTACACATATAAAGTCTGTCTAGTCTGCCTATTTGACGACTAGTGTAGGTTTTGGCTATTCTTAAATATCTATAAGATTTTTACTGACAGCACAAGATTAGTCTTGTTTTAGCCAAGCTGTCTACATTTAGATGTATATTAGACGTTTATTAAACACAAAATTGCTTGCTGGGAATAGAATTTATTCTTGTGACAGTATAGTTGAATTTGCCATTGCTCCATCTTTAGAGTCACATGACTCTTAAAAAGTCAGTATCACTTTATTTTGATGGTCACTTTAATGCATTTAGTTGAATTTAAGTTACATTGCATTTCCATGCCATCAAATTCTCATTAGAATATAAGTAGACTGCTAGGTTAGGGTTGGGGTTAGGGTTAGTGTGAGTTGAGATTTACTTGCAAAGATTCTTATAGTCAGTTGAATGTCTGTTGAAGGAGCAGTATCAACAGATATTATGCAGAAAGTCTACTAATACTCAAAGGAGAAGTGATTGGCATGTAGTTGAAATGCAACATTTAGTCAACAAAATGTGCATTAGGGAGCATCTAAATAAAGTTTTACCAAAAAGTCAGTTTAATATTCTGTTTTGGTGCTCAATAACTGCTTTTATTATAAATTATTAGAGTTCACAAATGCCTTTTTATATAGACAGAATAGTGTAAAAGTCTAGATGAATGCTTCAAATGAGTTTTGTGAAGTTTTGTGAGGGTTTCCTAAGGGTGCACTGACACTATGCTATCCGAACCGTGCCCATAAGGCAAAATGAAATGTGAGTGCACACTGTCGGGGGTAAAGAGACAATCATGCTTCTGCATAGTTCAAGGCAACTGTACCTAGTCTGAGTATACCACACATTTAAAGTCATTATTTCTTTGTTATGAAATCTGAAATAAAGTATTATTAGACTTTTAATTTAATGCCTGAAAAATAGTTTCTGTTTTTTCACCATACACAGGCCTGGAGCACTCTTGAAACTGCTTGTCGAATCATATCAGATAATCCAACTAATAATTGTTCTCAATATCTTATGAATCTCAATATTTATGCTGCCTTGACGAGTTTTATTATTGAAAAAAAATGACTGACAATCTTAAATGTCTACAGCCTTACCAAGCAGGAACAATAACACTTAACAAAAAGCCTCATTTTTACACAGTGCTTTGCAGCCAAGGGCTACGCAGGCTTTTACAGCATTCCTCAATAGCGGGAATAGAGAACAGTAGAATAGACTTAAAGGAGATCCACATCAAAGGGAGCTCAAAACGACTACTGTAAAGTGCACCAGGGGCTCAGAGGGGCTTTCTACAGAAAAAAAAAAAAAACATCATACTTTATGGAGCTGTTAGAGCCGACCTAAAGTGCTGTTCTGGGGTCAGCTTTAGCAGTTTTCCTTTTACTGCTGGAAGACTGATGGATGCTTATTGTAAACTACAAATATCTCTGAGCAATGATGATTTTCACTACTGCCTTTTCTCATGCTGTATTGCCTCGCTAATGTCATGTTGATCTTTTGTGCCCGCTCATCTCAAATGTTTCTCTCGCTTTCTTTCCCATGATGACACAGCTTTTAGTAGAGGGCTCAGATTAGAGCATTTTTTTTCTACTCTTTCACTCTAAACAGCCTTCTCTAATAGGTACATGACCGGTTTACTTTCCACCGCTGAGGCAGAAACAAGTTGCATAACATTTAATTAAGAACCTCCATTCAGACTGATACTTGACTGATATACGCAGAGTCTGCTTGAGCTAGCAAATAAATGGAAACAGTCAGTCAGGTGCAATTGTGCTGCCATAACAACCAGTGGTGATTCATTTGTGCCTTAAAAGACGTCTTTTTGAAGGTCGAATTTCAAAAGTACCCTTCAAAATAATTTTATGTAAGGACACTGAACTGATAGAGGAAAGAAGTCTAAGTGTGTTTAGACATCTGTGAAAGACATTGAAAAAGAAAAAGTCAGCTCATGATGCAACAAAAACCTCTTCGCTAAATGGTTCTGTCAAGCCCTGTTTAGTCTACAAGGTTCAGTCATTGTGTAAGATTATGTGATTTTGTCTAGATAAAATCACGATGACTCGGGTACAAAAAAAAAAATCACAGACTACACATTGCTTAATCTATGATGCACATTCTGTCATCAAGAATTACATTCACAGTATTGGCAGTGTTGGGCAAGCTGCTTGAAAAATGTAGTGAGCTAAGTTATTAGCTACTCTACTTAAAATTTAGTCTAACTACACTAAACACTACCCTCTGGGAAATGTAGCAAGCTAAGCTATAAGCTACTTGGAAAAAGTAGCTACATCTGAGTTATTTTTGCAATTTTCATGTTCCTAACCATATCTTAGGGATCAATAAATATGTCAAATAGGCATAATTGTTCAGTTAAATTATTTACTGCAAATAATATGCTGCACTAAACAAAAACAAATTATAGTATACAGCAAAAACAAAAAAGTCCAATAAAAGGAGGTGTTACACGTTTAAAATACTATAGTAAATTATAGAAAAGGGAAATATTTAGGAATAAGCGTTATATTGAATATTCAATAACAACTTCTCATCAATGAATTACACCATAAAACAAAAAGAGGAAATTGTTTTTCTCGCTATCATATGGATTTACTTTCATCAACTAGACACGGGCTTCACAGCTCTGTGAATGTCGGTGCCACCATATTGATCCGCGATAGGTAAATTTAGCTTGTGTGGATGCTATTGTGCTGCTTGATTTAAAAAAATAGCTTCGCTACTGAAAAGCTATTTGATTTACAAAGTAGCGACGCTACCGCCACGCTACTGAGAAATGTAGTTAAGCTAGTAGCGTCACTACTTGTAGCTATGCTACTGCCTAAAACGAGTATATAGAATCACTTTTTAATGATCGTGTAGTAAAATCAATAGTAGCCAATTTTTGGACTTGATTTTGGATTTCAAAACTGATGGATTTCACCACCAGTGATGCTACCCTAATATAGATTTTAAAGATACGTTCAACCCAGGCTCATTGCGGATATGTACTTAGGTCTACATTTTTGGGGACAGGGAAATACATAACCGCAGATACTTCTGCTCGCAGTCTTTGTTTTTGCAAATCCACCAGAGGCTGCTGTGTACACTTTTTGATGATCTCAAATTTCTCTTGCGCATCCTTTTCTCATGTAAATCCATCAGAGAGTGCAATATATTCTTTAGCTGACCAGGGATGTGTTTCCCAAATAACAACATAACTTGTGGCTGAACTACCTAAGTACGATGCATCGTTTGGGAAAAGAATGGTGTAGTGACGAGTGTTTTCCAAAACTATAGATGATGCAGAACCATCATTTGAACCATGTTAGTTACAACGTAAAACTTTCATAAAGCCGTTCTAAACGTGGTGGAGTAACAACTTCTTTAGAGAAAAGCCCCATACTTTTTTGTGCAAATTATATTGTTTTACATGCACACGCATTTAAGATCCAATATTGACTTGGATAAAAACATGCACTCGTTTTCATATTAATTTAATTACACATAAACCCTCTTCCCTCAACTCAACCAGTAGTGTTTTCAAAGGCAATGCAAAAAAGAAAAGTTGTCGTGGCCACACGTTTTAAGGCTGTGTTTATTTATTTATTTTTTTGCTTTTGTTTTACCTGGTTTCTAGAACCATTGTTCGCCGAACTCGAACCCATTATCGCGCTCAACTTTGCTCTGCATACAAGTTCATCGGTGTATGTGGCAAGCTACTGGGCAAACTGGTCACATCAGAAAAGCTATCCATTTGGAGATAAGCAGTCAGCGGTAGCTTGAAAAGAAACAGAAGCCATTGGCGGCGTCATACCAACCCCACAGAGTTTGTTTTTCAAAGGAAATGGAGCCAGGCGTACCACTGGGTACATAATTTGCAGTCTCCAGAAATGTAGACAGTGGTACATATTCACAATGATATGTACCCCTGTGTTGCTTACAATGCTGTTCAACATACATAAATCCGTTAAAATCTAAAAAAAAAAAATTATCAAGGGTTTCATGACCCTTTAATAACCCTGCCGTAATGTATTAACAAACTAAAGATTTGCAATTAAGGAATTCAAACTTTGCTTTGCCCTCAAAGTGAGTGTACCAATATGTGTGCAATGTCAAATGAATCTTTTTTTAATATGAAATATGGATAAAAAAATCCACAAAAATTTGAGTGAAATTTGACGAAATACGCTATATGCACAGCTAGTGTTTTTCAGCCAACGATAAAGTTCCAGTGAAATGTTTATGTGACTATTTTTAACTTCATACGGTTGGATTTACAGCATTGATGTTGTAATGTAATTAAAATACAATCAGTTAAACGGACTTCAGCATTCATTTAGTCGTTCATGGGTAAAACAATATGAAAGACCATTTAAACGCAATCGCTGTCAGTAGCAGCAGGCTAGCACAGAAACTTGTCCAGTCTGAGATATACTTTATATCATATATCAATCAGGCAGTGAAGATTGATGATTTTTAAAGAAATAAGATCTTAAATGTGGTGATTTTGTAATGGTTAGACAGCTTACCATAAGTGCTTGGGCTGGTTGACTGAAAATGAAAAGTCTGTGTACACACAGTATATATCCCATTGGTCAGAATTGGGTGGGGCAATGAAGCATGAGTCAGCAGAATGCTGTGTCACTCATTATTTGTTATGACTGAGTTGAACACAAACTTAGTGAAGATATTAGTGGCATGTCAGATGTTCCCCATTCACCAATTTTACCAATTATTTCCACCTTTCGTTTCATTTGCGTCATTCATCTGGCGACTTTTATCAATTTGCCTTTTCTGCATATGTTGATTTATAAATATGCATCTTCTCTTACCTGCTGTTGAACTTCTCAGGATGTTTTTCTCTCATCAGATGGAAGCGATGGGCTATGGATGCATCCTGAAACAGAATACAGAGTGTTCTGGTTAAACAGGTTAACTGCTTCTCTCTGCTGTACATATAACTGTTGTCGGAGAGCCTGTCCTAAATCAAATTTTCAGGACTCAGAGGAAAACAGCAGCCCTGGGCCATACAGCACAAACATAAAACTGTTCAGACACGGCCCAGACCTTCTGGTATGCACTAATCACTCTTTAACTTTCAATATATTATTTCTTATGAAAAGGGCTGTCTTTGAAACCAAACAATTCTCCAGGTCTTCACCAATAGAACGGTATCAACAACATATTTACATTTTTAGGACTAAATCATAAATATACAAAAAAAAAAAAAAAAGAGATTATATATATATATATATATATATATATATATATATATATATATATATATGTGTGTGTGTGTGTGTGTGTGTGTGTGTGTGTGTGTGTGTGTGTGTGTGTGTGTGTGTGTGTAATACAAATAATTAAGAATAAAGTAAATATGACTGGCATTAATTATATAACTGCACTTCTATATGTACACTTGCTCAGTTTGTTTTCATGAAATGCAGATAGAAAAAAAACATTTAAAAAGTGTGCATGAATTCATTTGAATAGTGAGTGCTGATTTTAATTAATAATTGTTCTTGAAAAATGAATTAAATGTTATATTTGCTATACTATCTTGCACTATCTTGGCAGGGTTTATCTTTTTATTTATTTATGCAAGTTCACTAGGACTGTTTTTTTTTTTATTAAAAGTACAATACAGCAGCAATGTTGTTTAAATATTACTTAATGGCAAAGCTAGATTTTCAGCATCATTGCTCAAGTCTATCACATGATACTTCCGAAATGATCATTATGCTGAATTAGAGCTTAAGAGTAACTTAGTAATTTAGTTTTATTATTATTAAAAACATAAAAATTAGTGTGTATGGATGTTTCCTAGTACTGGGATGCAGCTGGAAGAGCATACACTGCGGTTCATTCCGTGGATGAATAACAGGACTAAGCCAAAGGAAAAATAATGAATGAATGAAAACAAAAGGCTTAATTTACAGATTTGACAAATTGTCTGATGGGTGGACTACCTGTGTAAGCTTCTTTCTTCTGTTGAACACAAAAGAAGATGTTTTGAAGAATGTAGCTAAGAGTATGAAAAAGAGTAGACATTGACTTCCACTTAATTTTTTTTTCTGACAATGGCTACTTTTTTTCCAACATTCTTGAACATCCGGTATCTTGTTTTGTGTTTAACAGATGAAAAAAAAAAAACATTTGAAAGCTTAGTGTGAGTAAATGTTGAGGAAATTATTATTTTAGGGAGAACTGTCTCCCTGACCAACAGTTGGTTTGAGTTCTCTTCATTTATTGGGTTTTACTGTGCTCAAATTGCTTCATTGACTCAAATGGATTAAGTTCACAGTACTCATTAGGATTTGTTTTTGATATATATTATTTATTATAATTTTTTTTTATATACAAAGACTTTAATTACCCACACTGAATTACTCATTCTAATTTTTCTAAAGTTGTGCATCAAATGAATCTAAATAACCAGAAATAAACAAATTACAAGACAAACAGATATAAAATCCTCATCTTTTTACTGTCTGCTATTCTGTTTTATACCAAAACAGCAGTACAACACAATATCACAGAGCGTTTAAATGGAAACATATGGTCCCTGTTTAAAGGGGTGGTTTTCTCTCTAGAGCAATAAAACAACCATAACAAGAAAAGGAGAGCTGTTCAGGTATTAACAGGGCTGTGTTTGACATCAAGAGCATGTGTGAGATGTGTCTTTCAGCTCTGTTACTGTGGGCTGAGGGGAAGACAAACTACTCTATTCTGCAAATTAAAAAAGAAGAAGAAAATACAGTGAGGCTGTTGAAAACGGGTCGGCATCATCAAGAAAAAAGGTTTTCCAGGAATGCCAGAAGAAGAGATGAGGGGGAGGGTGAAAGTAGTATACACTAAAGACCAGTAATAAATAGCTTATCAAACTAAGACATGGGACATTAAAGCTTTTACACAGGTAGCGTGCACTTCATCATTGCTTCCCTGAACAAAGCCATTCCAGGGATTTTCTAGACAGGTTCCTGGTAGTGGATACTTCTGTCAGCTTAAAACATGGTTGATGGCTATTTAAGTACTTCTAAATACGGGAGAAAGAAGCATCCCACATTGAGTATGACCAGCAAGCTGCCTGCATGAACAAGAGTACACATTTATAAATCAAGCTTCAAATTATTTAAAACTGCATTTATTTGTATTAAATATAGATTTATTGATTAATTAGACTGAATATGAATAATATAAGATTAAATAACTCTCTGAAAATACATTTTCTTTTTTTTCTGACACGGGCAGGTGTAAATGAGTAAATGGGACCTAATCTGTCATGGCATTCAAATGTGTCTTCTTTGGCCACTTTTGACCACTTCTCTGATGAAATAGGGTCTGTGAATGGGTGTATGTACTGTATAGCCCTATAGATCAGTGGTTCTCAAAGTGGGGGTCGGGGCCTCCTGAGGGGTTGCAGGAAAATGAAAGGGGGTTGCCTGGTGATTTTTCAAAAATCCATTTATTTTTATTAAACCATAAAAATTACCATATTTTATCCATAACCTACTGAAGAGAAAAATCGTCGTTTATAGTTACTATATACTATATAGTTACTTTAGTAGCTTATAGTTACTAATTCTATTGAATTGCGACCCCTGGGGTAAATACATTATATTGAAGACACAGCAATAGCGTCAGATGCAGCAGATTGATTTTATAATACCAGGTTAAACTTTCTGGCACATTTACAGCCCTGACATACATTGAAAAAACTAAACGAAGAATATACTTGGGTCTATTGGTGTGTGTGCGCCATTGCATGCAAGGTTTCTGTATTTATAATCACCTCTGAAAATATTGGGGGTCGCAAGTCACTGGCATTGTCATTTTGGGGGTTGCGGGCTGAAAAGTTTGGGAACCCCTGGTTATATATATCAGTGTATATCAGTGTAATTAGCTATACTGTGGCAAATTTACAGTTCATTTTGCTGTGGTAATGAGTGTGTTTTTCAACATCTTTACAACAAAAATAGTAAATCAAACACATTTATTGAATACTTTATAGACTGAGCAATGTAAATAAAAATAAATCATTAAATATTAGGCTTATTTTAGAACACCAAACATAATTATATTGATGGTATTTTATTAATGAAATCATTATGAAGATCAACGGGAATTGATCACACAAAAAGACTGATCATCCAAAACATGCAGTATCATCCAAACAACATCCCTGTATTTTGCTTAGAATGCAATACAATTACTATTATTACATTAATGAGGTAAAATAATCACACAACTGTAAATCACACAAATCAAACATACCAGTTCATCACATGCACTGCATGAGAGATGCCATTTGAGAAGAATGAAAGCTATTGACAGCCTATTCGATAGGTCTCAGGCTAGAGTTTTGTAAAAAAAAAATCATGTTGCACCGGTTATGTGTAGTTGCAGGTTTTAGATGAGAAATCCGTTAGAGCTAATTTAAGCTAATTAGCTAAACTAATTTAGTTTGAACTAAGCTGCCAAATGGCCAGTTTAAAATTTTGTTACAAAAAAAATAGATGTTGCATGTATATATGATTTATTTGTATAATTCAAAATTTTTCAAAAAGTTTAGACATGAGTATGCTGCCTATATTTATGAGGTCCAAGGAACGATTCCAGGTTTTGATGAATAGGCTACTATGATAATGCTTTACATTTAAGTACAATCTTTTAATAGCACATCTTAATTTACACGTTGACATTGCACAGTGCAGTGTTCATTTTCAAACTATTTATAATGTTTAAATTGGCTGACAATAATAAATATTCTTAATAATAGGAACTGATCTGCCACGTTTTTGAACTGTGCAGACCTGTAGCCTCTTAATTAGGCCTACTATGCTACTTTTTATTGTGAGGTGGTACTAAAAAAAGTTTGAGAACCACTGATCTAGACAATTGAACAAAAAATTGCGTAAGGAACCTATTAATATTGTCCTTAAAATGGTTTAAAAAATAAATAAAATCTGCTTCATTCCTAGCCGAAATAAAACAAATGAGACTTTCTCCAGAAGAAAAAAATATTATTGCAAATACTGTAGAAGATTCCTTGCTTTGTTAAATATAATTTGGGAAATGTTTAAAAAAAAAGAAAAAAAATCAAAGGAGGGCTAATCATTTTGACCTTTAACTGTACATCACACACATAGACAAACAGTTTCAGGAATTATGCTGTGGAACTTAAGATGTAGGACAAGAGGTATCAAAGTTCATTATTAGTGATTTGTTTGAGTCACTTACCCCTGCTTTAGAAAAAACTAACCAAAATGACCACATCGACTACATCGAGGCTATTTCTCTGTCAATTCGAGTGATATAAACTTCAGTTTCCAAGCACCTGAAGGCATCTGACAGCACAAGTGATCAAACAGTGAGTGGTTTAGCAGGAACCCAGAGCAGAATCCAGCATGAGGAAAGCAGCCTTGATTAAAATCAAAGCAACACCGTGCAAACGCAGCAGCTAATTGATGAATCAGGTCTGCAACCGTAACTGATTATTTCTATATTTACACACACACACATAAAAGACAGAAGATCTCAAAGCCACCACATCCTTCAGCTAGACCCTGAGTGCACTGACACACACGTAACACCTGTCGCAGGGTTTCGCTGTGTAATATAACGATGGATCTCACCGTGTCGCAGACTCAGACAGGGAGGAAGTGTGCGAGGGTGAGATTCTCAGGGTTTGATAGCTGCTGGCACGTTGATGAAGCCGCGAGCGGACGGCTCTACGTTAACACCTGTGCTGGCTTCCTGCCTGAGCCTGCAGGTGCTGCGCGTCACATGGGAGAGAGTACAGGAAGAGTGAGGGCATAGGAGGTGACATGAACTTGCAGCCTGCACACATCCAGACCAATGATGCCCAGAGCTTTAAAAATGGTCCTTGATTAAGAT